CCGAACCTTGGTAGAGTATATGTCCATTGAAGCTTTAGGTCATTCATTGCCACAGGTTTACACCAGCGAGGAAAGTAGTAACTGTATCAGACTATAAATGATTTCCTCTAAAGTGTCCCTCGCAGTGGGCCCTTTGGACACTGACGAAATGGATTTCCAACGACTTTTGTAATTTACTGACTAATGATTTTCGATTTCTGCTTCAAGCTCTGTCGATAACTTCAGTAATTTGTTAGGTTCTCATGAAAGTTAGTTTTGCGAAGAGACTTTAACAGTTAACGTAATTTTACATACAGATTTTCTCATTGCCGATACTGGAATGCCAGGCAACTCGCCAAACTTCAAATAGGTGTTATGGAGTACAACTCAATCGCAGAAAGAATCTATACTGGAAATGGAACTCATAAATACTAACCGTTTTAGCAACTCTTGCAAGCAGCCTGCAATTGAGTAAGCTAAGATGTAGAGAAGTTGGAATACATAAAGCCAAAGACAGATCTACAAATGATTACATTTCTAATTCAAATAGCATTGAACGAACGATGGAATCTACTGTTAGATATCAGTGCTTGCTACGATACATGGACGCATATGTTACAATGGGAAAGCTATAAACCAGCATAGGAAGCTCCAATGTATAGAAAGTTCTTGCAAGCGTATCTGGCTCATCAATTTTGCTGACAGGCTAGACCCTTATCACTAGCAACAGATTGTCCACCAGGTCTTCAGCCAAAGGCACTTTGACGAGATAGATGCACAACTCTTTGGCATTTGAGAGTTCATGTGTTCATGCAGGCGAAACTTAAATTAAGTGACAAGTTTGTTTCAGGTTAAGGGAAATAAGCAGTTTTGGGTATGTATCTCATTTATTTAGTACTGAAATGTATTGTGATAGCAGGGTTGCTATCCAATGATTCACCATATAGAAAATTTCCAAATCTCTTCATTATTTCAGCATAGAGAGAATTGTGGTAGCACATATTAAAGGTGAAAACATAGGATATATGAATAACTTACACTTATCCCCCTACTACACATTAACACGTTTTTTTTTACAGTCAAATACTTTTCAGTACGAAACAAATGGGATAGATAATCAAATCTAAATAAACTTTCAACGATGTTAACGGTTTGGGTATCGGGGATTTGAGTCAACGTTTCTATTTGAGAACTTTTTGGCGCTACGTTTGTGATGTACGATCACAATCAACTTACTCTATGGTAGGAATCAGTCATTTTATTAACATATAGCACAATGTAAATCCCAGTTATCAAACGGTAATTTTCTCAAGCGTATGTACCATATGTGATGACTACTGTTGGAATCCACTGAAAGATAGCTTTCTGTCCCCAGTTACAGATCTACCTCCACATAGAAAATAAATTGCATGCTGCATCATTGTGGTGGTCACCTAAAATGGTCTAAAATTGCAGCACTCCATCATTGTACACAAGAGAATCGTGCTTCAAGGGAAAGACGTGAAAATGACCGTCGTTTGTCTGAGTGTAAATGGGCAGAATGGGAATATCAGTGTTAGCCGACGGGAAGGACAAAAATACAGCAATTAATTCTTGGAAGCGGCGGGTGGCTGTGTTTTTTTTAACGGAGTGGTTCAATGCAAGGCCTACACGACCACTTCTCGGCATTGAACTAGAAATATGAGAAAACATGGCTATGTCAAGAGATGGCGGTGAACGTTGGATTTGAAAGCCTGTAGGTTGTAGGTTGGTGGGAAACACTTGTCAGGGAGGGAATTCCAAAGCTTGGCTGTACGGGGAAAGAAACTGTCACTGTAGAAAGATTTCGAACAAGGAATTTGGACGGTGAAGTTGTGTGAGCTAGTGGAGAACCTAGTGGAACGCTTAAAAGTTCTGAGTGGTGGAACTTCATTGCGTGTTAACGTTAGCTGGCACGATCCTAAAAATCATATTCTGCCATACCAACTTTCGGGACAGATCTGCTGGTAGATAATTTAGTTTAGCAATCAGTCTAAAATAGCATTTACTGTTGTGAGTTGTACGTATTACCTACATACTCATGAATATCCTGTCTAACGTTCCCCCTCCCCCCAAGTCAAGATGATATAAATAAATACTAGAAAAGCAACATTTGCAAAGCAAATGCATAATGTTTACCTTCGGATATGGTCTGCTCTGTTAATTCTTTAATACTCACAATAACACACAAACACATTCACATACATGTGTATCGGTGACAGGAGTCTAAATGCCTACTATGAGATTGCAAGTTTTGCAACATTATGTAACCCAACACCAGTTACTATGGTGACAGACGTCAACAAAAGAGGCCATTGGCCAGGTCAGAGGTTAGTGTTTGGAACAGAAGAAGAAGAAACGGAGGAAAAACCATATGTTTTCCTTCGGTAAACATAAAGATATATAAAAGGGTTTGTAGTCTCATAGTTTTTAGGCAGTGGGTTGTTATACACTTTCCAAGGGCAGGGTATTGGAAGATGGAGCCCATCCCTCTCCTTCCACTGCCTTTTACCTTTACTTTTTAAGTCAGGTATTTACACATAGGTGGAGTCAGGAAAGTCGTTGAAATGCAAAGTGCCTTTGCTAAAGGCACACGGTACGTGACAGGATTCGAACCGAGGACCAAATACCCCGCTGCCAACCCCATAATATGTGCTAAGGCCATGTTGATTTGATTATATGGATGACATCCTCTGGGAACCCCAAAACTGATGCGCGCGTGCGAATAAAAAAAAGTTTTGCAAAAAAAAAGTTGCTTTCACTATAAAATATACGTGGTCGACGTCATGAAGGTTGAACAAATGGCACAGAATATGTTATGGCGAATAATCTACTCTTCGAATTCATTTCTTTACATTTTTGTCTTTTTACCTTTGATTTTGGCATGCTACGACATTGGTATCGTTTCTAAATGTTTTCCTTGCAACTTATGGCATATTTTTGCTCATTTAGCAACTGTTTTGTACGATTTACAGTATGGTTGAAAACTTTTTTTTTTTGGAAACGGTCGAAAATTCATGCGCGCGCGGATGTCATCCATATAATCAAATCAACATGGCCTAATTGCTGCTAAATAAATGCTAAAATGCGCAACGTTTTCTTAGCTCTAGACGTGGGAGATTGGCGCTGTTTTGATATTTATCGTAGAATATCTATGTGTGTCTGGGGCTGATATACGACGCTGCATCTTTTAAACTGAATTGGCCATGGGGCGGAATTGCCTGTCACTGAGGGCATCTTTTACTGAGGGGTTCGCCCCTTTTACATCTTGATGATAACAAAAAAATTCTGATTCTTACTCAAACCTTTATACTGAATACCCAACGATTTACAGTTGCCGAATGATTTATATCGCCGTTAGTCTTGTATATACGAACGCTCATTTGTTGTTTTGTCATTGTCATACCTGTATTTTGTATTCTATGTCAGTGGTGTGATTAATATTAGCTTCGGCTAGAGTTTCCATCTCTGTGTCTTGTACCATGTCTTGTACTTTGTTGTTTCAATAAATAAATAAAAAATTGCCTGTCAAAGACTAGCAAAGACAGAGCATAACCCTGTCATGCTAGTCTTCACTTCAAAAGTAGGAATTGTGAATTAGTAAAGATTTATACAGTTTGGAACTTGCTCACTACTTTGCATGCAAAGCATTTTCGTTCTACGGAAACCTAATCTCTTAGCATCATTTTAATTGGTTGTTTGTGCCGCCTTCCAATCTAAAAAGCTGTTAGGGATCTTCCTAGTTGATGATGACTACCAAATTGGCTGGTTTGTATCTCAGCATGTCGCTTATTGTAATTATGTAGGCTGTGTTGTAATGCATTGGATATGGGTACAACAAACATTGATATATGGATAGAAGTTTTTACTAAGTTTTCAGAGTTAGCTTTTCTACTGTTAGTAATGTTGAATTGGGGAAACTGTCATGCTATTTTGGGTGTAGTTAAAATATTAAAATGTATCTATATGTGTATTGTTGCTGTTATTATCTATCATAATCATCATCATTTAAAAGAAAGATGTCTAAACAAGACTAGTTGGTGATCTATCAATTACAAGAATCTACCTGTACAGTAAATAAGAGTTTGAACTATATTGAAGATGTTACAGTTTTGTAAATGTGAAAGTGACGTGGGCCCTTGTAGCAGTAAATAACATACAGTACTGTCATTGAGATGCTGTAGCTCTACTATTTTGGAAAGAGATGATAACAGAGTACGTCTTTGTTTGGTATAAGGTTCACAGTTTCCTTTCCTAGAACTATCGCAGAGTGGAACTCGCTGTCACCAAGTACAGTAGGGGCATTGTCATTAGATAGCTTTAAACAATGCCTAGAGTTAGACGTTCAAGGGTTAGGTGTAACAAGTCGATCAGTGTAATGTAGCCAGCTGCCGCCGTGCCGCGTGCATGCAAAGTTGGTGTGTTACGCCGAAAGGCGTTTATACCGGCTAGGCCATGTTGATTTGATTATATGGATGACATCCGCGCGCGCATGAATTTTCGGCCGTTTCCAAAATAAAAAGTTTTCAACCTTACTGTAAATCGTACAAAACGGTTGCAAAATGAGCAAAAATATACCGTAAGTTACAAAAAATAAATAAAAACTATACCAATGTCGTAGAATGCCAAAATCAAATGAAAAAAGACGAAATTGTAAAGAAATGAACTTGAAGACTAGATTATTCGCCAAACCATATTCTGTCCCATTTGTTCAACCCTCATGACCACGTCGATTTCATAATGAAAACAACTTTTTTTTTGCAAAACTTTTTTTTTATTCGCACGCGCGCATCAGTTTTGGGGTTCCCGGAGGATGTCATCCATATGATCAAATCAACATGGCCTTACCCAACTTTACTGGCACATGTATTTACTGCCATTGGTAAATCTAAGTTTTCGTGCAGAGATACTTTCATACTTTTCACAACTTGCCGTGATATTTGTATAGAGAATTGATCATTTACTTTTAAGGCTATGTAAACGAGTAATGTATTGGAACTTGAATGTATAACTGCACTGCACTGCACTGTCAGACATCAGAAACATTCTTCTGGTTTTATCATTTTAAAGGCGAGGTGGACAGCGCTATCTTGAGGAAGATCCTGCAAAGGCAAAGCAGCGTGTACAACAGAGTCGTGGAACCGTCAGAAGAGATGATAAAGGGTTTTAAGGTAGGGCTGCGACGTCGCTTAAGTGGCCTCCCATTTGCGATGAGTGCATTTTTTAAGAACACCAATGTCGCCACCAGTCTTGGCTTGATCCATGTCCTTCAAAGGCGTCACCATAGTTTACAAATATCAGACTTTTAAAATTATTATAGCATCCTATCCAAAACGGAAATAAAAAGCACTTTTAAATTTGTTTTTTTTTTTGTATCATGAAGGAATCATGGCTAACATAGTAACTTGAGGTTACAGAATGTTACATAGTCTAAGTTAAAAGGAATGAGCTTTCTGATGAAAAAAATTAATGAAACATAACCCTCTAGGCTCTGGTACAACATGACACGAGCCTGGGTGCAGTGAAGTTTGACTGGCGTCAACAGACAGCGGAGGAGTACTTCTCCAGGTCCGATGGCACGAAGTTCGACCTTGCCCATGCTATTCATGTTCTGTACCATGTGGAGGACCACCACGCCACCTTGCGGAATATGTGGGAACAACTGGCTGAGGGAGGCCACCTGTTGCCTTTCTTCTTACGGGTATGTTGATTCGGCCACTAAGGGGGGGGGGATCCCAGGAACAAACTAACACTTCTAATCGTTGCTTGAATGTTCTAGATGTGCTCATTAACAGTTCTGAGTACTAAGCACATATGTATATTTGCATGCAGACAAAAGAGGCACGGGGGAAACTGGTTCCATGAAGTATGGG